TACTAGTAATCTTCAGATACTAATAAACTTATCATATTCTTTTTGGAGAGCTCATTATAACGCGTGGCCAGTTATTATACTGTAAGGCGAGCAGCTACTACAATTTGGATAGAAAAGAGGAGGGACCAGTGCGGGAAACGCAGCATTTTTTAGCGTTTTTCATAGACTCAAAACAGAAGCGGCCATTTACTACGCACATGGCCTTACAGTCAAAACCTGGATGTCATCACGAGAAAGCGAGATGCGTGGCGACTCCCAAGGGAGGGAGCTCCAATCTCTCCCCTTTCCTATCGGTCGTTAGTTTCAACTGGTCTTTTTGCTGAAAATCATCAATAAAGCTGACCAACACCGATTGCTCCAGTTTTTCATGATTTCTTTTACAATTTACTCTTTCTTTTATACTATTTTGTTTTTCTTATCGTTTCTGGAAAATCCTCAGCAATGAAATTTGTGCAGTTGAATGACATGATGAACAAAGCAGTCAAGCCCTTTATTAAGCACTAAACAGGACAGAAAGAGAACCACCCGAAATTTGCAGGATCCACACAACACAACGACAAAAGCAAGAGGACAGACGAAAATACTGGCAATTGCAGCGCGCAGGAGTTTATCACGATCGAATTCAAACGGCGACGTTTGTTTGTTGCGCCATCCACTGTCCATTCTTGGGCAGCTCGTATTGAACGCATTTCGATCAAACTTGTAGGTTTCCGGCTCACCATAAGAGGACAGTTCTATCTCATCTTGTTCCAGGAATGAAAATGGAGCATCCATATTTCTAAAAACAAGCCTTTTCTGGGGAGTACGAGTAAGAACGTCGATTGAAACGAACCCCTTCAACAAAAATGAAGAAACTGCAATCTGGAGCTTCGAAGCATTGCTTGAAACACTGTTCAACGGTAGTGTTAAATACTTTGTAACTAGTGGGTGCAAGCGTAACGTTGGTCAAACGTGCACCATTGAATTTAGTGAAAGTGCAGGACAGCCCGGGAGTCACCTGAAATGGCGAAACATTCCACTTGAACATGCCTTTCTTTCTTGTCTCATCTGACAGTTGCTGTTACAGTTGTGATGAGGAAAATGAGTCTTTGTTGAACGCTTGAGACAGGTTTAGTTACACTTGAGTCAGAAAGCATGAGGATGGAGGATTCTGAAGGCAGAACTACTGGACTGGTCACGAAGGTATCTCACCTGCAAGAGGAGCAGGAGCATGACAAACGCTGGTGTGGTGACGCGAAGCATAACGAACCACATTGTTCTGAAGTAGTCCTCGGTCGGTCAAGTTCGTAGAATACAATCAACCTTGAAGACACCTTACCTTTTCCCTGGAGCTGGAGCGTACCTTCTCGAAGGACGACGAGAGCACAATAACCTTCTATAAAGCGAAAGCCACCGCCAGGAGGAGGTACTATGTTGCTAGGATTCCTCAATTCGAGTGCATTAGAGACCTATTATTCCAACCATTTTCCACTGAAGTATACGATACACATATCTCGAAGAAACTCAAGTGATGTGGATAATATTCAGACCAAGGAGGCATAATATGGCTTCGTAGAAACCGCTTAGTTTCGTCATAATGTACTAAAAAGGGGCTACATCTTCTTTCGATTTCATAGATAGAAGAATTGATATGTTGCGGATGCGTGCAGTGCGATCTACGTGTCATTTCTTATGAGCAGGACCCAACATGAATGTTCACGTTCACGCTTTTGACACGTTTGCACGTGTTGACTCCACGCCGCTAACAGTTGTGGAAGTTTTACAGCGGGAATTCAAAATTTTCATAGTCGAACTGGTTATCATAATTATTATCAAACCATCGCCTATGTTCCGTTCTTTTTGCTATCTTCATGAAGCAAGGGGCCTAAGGTATCGTTTTTTGTAGGAATGGAGGCGATGTTTTTCCGTGGAAGATTCCTTTAACATACAGCACCGACTACTCTCTAGCATACTGATGAGATGCTCTAGAATCACCATTTTCGTCAACAGAGAGGAATGGTACCAACCCTCCTTTATGGTGACGCTCAGCCACACGTCCCATAAACGACCTCACAACTATTTGAGCAAAGTGGCATACGCGCGTGCTTTGATCCCGACCTGCTCATTGGACCTCTCCCTCACCACTACCCCTTTTCCCAACCACCTCGACAACTTCTTGAGTAACAAATGCTTCAATGTTCGAACTGATGAGAAAACAATGCTGGGCGATAACATCGCCTTCAAAAGCGTATATTTGAACGTGAGAAGGACATTTCACATACGTCTTGATAAGAAAGATTAGTGCTTTCCAATAATTTTGTTACCACAAAAAATGTACGGTTTTGGTGAGAATATGCTTCTTTGAAAATGGAAGTCAAAACCCGCTTTACTTATCGAACAACCTAATATTATCCTATCGTCTTCCTTGACCACCCAGTACACTACTTTCGCAAGGGGAAAAGCGTCAGAAGCAATGATCTAAACGGTGAAACTCCAGTTCGGGGGGCCACTCCATTTTTCTCCAATACTCAAGATAAGGATTAGAGGGCTCACGACACGTAATCGACTCATTTAAAGTAGACTTCTGATAAATATTGGTGTAATGGGTGAGAAACCCTGAAACGTTTTCACATTTCCGCCTGCCATGACCCAAGGGAACGGTCCTGGACCAGGAGAAAGGACACCTCCGCAAAGGGCTAAGGGTGCAGGAGCTCCAGGGTGGATCACCTGTGCAGAAAAGTGGATGGGATGTGGGCAGGTAGTGTGGAATGTAGGACATCACCGTGTCGTGTAACTTCGTGTCACTTTGAATGTGTTAAAGTTGAAGACACTGACATTCGTTCGTTCAAGCTTGTTATTGAGGCGTTATTGAACAAGAGATTAGTACACATTAGAGTCTGTGTTATTCTATCGTTAAGGAAAAACATGAAAAATTGTGATGAGTTTCGAATTTACAGGAGTTTCCGTTTACTGAATAGTTCTCCCTCAAGTTGGCACGATCTCGGTCGTTTTCCCGAGTATTACATAGTTAATAGCAGAAGAAGCATTAAGGGAGGAAACGAGCAGATAACTTTTCTATAATTCGACGATGTGATTCACATAATTGTTGGGAAGAAAGAATATATATACAAGAAATTGCCGGCTATAATGAACGTAAATACTTTTCTCGCGCTTGGCCAGACTATCGGACTGCCACCGGGATTTCTTTCGAGTTGCCTTCTCATCGTAACTGTCGTCACCGCGGTAAAATATAGTCGACTTGAACGCTCGAAATTGAAAGAAGGAAAATTGAATGAAAAAAGGAAGGGAAAAATGAGATCACGAAAAATTCAAATATCGCGTGCTAGGGTACCGATCAAGATACGCGATTTGGGCCCTAAAAGCGTACCTTTCAAAAACAAGGTGCACGTGTATTAGAATTTTCGTTTGATAGCGTCAGAGATTCTCTTGCAAATAATAGTGTTACCCGTTTGTTTCAGAATTTTTTGAAATTGAGCAGTTTTTTTTTGATGAAGCTTGGAGTCCTAAGGATATCCTACCCTTTCACGTAAGGGTTATTTGATATGTAATAGTTTGAGGTTAATCGATATCGTAGTTGAGTGGAGCTTTATGGGTTGGGCCGATGCACCATATTTTGGGGCATCACTCCCAAATGTAGGATTTGGTGGTTCTTCTGTGAATACCATTCTTTCAACCTTATTTATTATAAACTATAATCGAACCAGCGAGCCAAAATCTCAATGACATCAAATATAAGGGTTTTTTACGTTGAGATTTGAGTTGAGAGCTTTAAATTTAGGTTTTGCCGTGAAGGGCTTTAAACTTCTTGAACCTTAAAGAGCCCACGTTCCTCGCGAGTCCGCCAACCGTCCTATTTTTTGTTCGGCTTCCTTTTCAGCCCACGGGACAAAGGACTTCAACCCTCTCGGCCGTGCGGCTAGGGTTCCGACAGAACAACATCTAGACAGAATTGATGGGTAATCGCTGCCAGCGAACGGGCCTGTAGAGCTGCCCGCGTCGCGAGCGCAGAATCCCACCGAAGGCGATCCCGTCGCCGCCTTCCGCGCTCTTATTATCCTCCTGGGGGCGGGGCAAAGTGACATCATGAACATGACATGTTCATGACAGGTGTTTATCAAATAGTACGCTCGAAATGAGTCGTTTTATTCGTATCATCTTATCCTAGTATTCGATATACCTTAAACTATCTCTAAGACTACGGATAAGTTAGCAATGAAGCCCTCTCTGCCTTCAAAATATATCGGGTATTAGCCAGTGATTGTTGGCGGCCACCTAAGCGGGCCTGTTCGAAGCTGAACGGAATCACGGCAAAGTTCTAGCTCCACGCATAGGGCAGAAGTCGTTATATAAGGGAAGGAGAAGTTGTTCTGCACGGCAGACACAAAATGACTTCCCCGTGCAACGCATGCAAAACAGCTTTTCCAAAAAGTGCTCCTTTGAAAAAAAATTCAACTAAGCTCATTCTGCTTTGTGCGAATCTCCAAGGATACGCCGTGCATCCACCGCACTCTCGACAACCAGTGTAAATGAAGGGTTCTATATAAAGAAGTTGCTAGTTAAAAGACAGTAAGTTTTGAGATAGGTAAAATTTGCAGGATTCGCGACCACATACGAACGGGTCCTGCTCTCTTGGATCGGCATCAATATTGTCTCCCTGATCTCTTGTTCAGATTCATCCACATTAGGAGCGCAAGCTGTCTCTATGACGTACATGTGAATGCAGAACGTAGAAGTCGTCCACTCTACGACGAAGTGCTGCTCCAGCTTCACTGATCAGGTTTATCGATGATTGTCAGCACGGAAGACCAGTTGAAGCTAACAACCAAGGGCTTCTTAGAACCGAGTTACAATGCTTCGTGCAAACTCCACCCGACTGGTGCACACTCCACCCATCCAGAGCTGTTAAGCTCCCTTCCGTTGTCGGATTGAACCGAGTTATAAGTGTGATACCAAACTCATCCAGCAACGGTGCACAACTCATCCCCACTAAAGTTCAGCCTCCCTTCTTTTCTGACCTCCATCCACCTTTTCTCCGCTCTTTAAAGCCTCTTGGAACCGATTTGTGAATGCTTTGTAGTAAGTAGGAAGTAGGCACCCCACTTCAGTACGCGGTCCATCCGTTGCGGGGGGGGGGGGCTACCGCTCAAGTTTTGTAGTTGGGGAGAACCTTGAAACCTGTTCCTCTAAGCGACTCGTTTTTGATCTGTAACCTTTTTCCTAACCGAGTTATGCACTTTTTTTTAATACGCATCACCTTTTTAGAGAACGCCACGCCCACCAGAGATGCGTCCCTCTAATTGGATCTGGGTTACCCATGCTCACCTCTGAAAACTTCCCCAGATTGAGTCTGAAATCTTGGTCGCGAGTGCCGCTTATTTCGAAGACGCCACGCCCACTGTAGGCGGGACTCCGCCTAGCTGATGTATGTTTTATACTTGCCAAGACATGGCCAACCGGGCGACGGACTTTTGGCTCGTCCGGGTTAGCACGCGGCAAATTGCGCGGCGAGCGGCGCGGCGATCCCGACGCATCGCGGGAATTCAACACGTCAACGTGTGAAGATTGCGGATAAAATCCGCAAGGTTCTGCAATTCGAAATACATCTGAACGGCTGGAATTTTGAGGACAGCGGTGGTTGTAACAGTAGGAAGAGATAAGAAGGAACTAGCATAGTGCTGTTACGGCAATCAGGGCGCTCATGTCTTTGGGGGGGGGGACGTTCCATTAGGGGAAGTGAGCCAATCACTGTGTTTGGGACGAGACTTAGGGAGGAGAAGGGATTCTGGGGGAAGTAATTTGTGTTCTCCCTGGCGTTCCTCTCCTGCTGGGCTTAGTCCTAGTGACCTACCGTCGACCCTGTTTTGTTGTTTGTTTCGAATGTTTCTCCTTTGGACGTGAGCGCCTCGATCAGCAAAACATATATAGTTGACATTAAACCTCAACAAAAACTCCCAATTTTAGTGACTCTTATTTGCTTTGATGGTAGTAGTGACATTTACATGAAGGTCCTCACTCATCTCCTTGCGCTGAAATCTCCTCACCGATACTGCTGCTTCCAATCCCCGCGAGCGGAAAGATTTTCAAACAGCAGAACCATGCGGAGTTTATCCGCAATCTGCACACGCATTGACGTGTTGAATTCTACCCGAAGAACCCGCGAAGCCTTGTCCCGTCCAGATCGCCGCGCGTGCCGCCGCGCAACTCGCCGCGTGCCAGTCCGGACGAGCCAAAAGTCCCGCACCCTGGCCAACCAT